TGGCATGTGGCGAACTGCCCTCGCAACGTAGCGGAGCCTCTGCACTCTGAGCATCGATTCCGGTGTATGCACTCCCAAAATCCCAGCAAGGACATGGATATCGAAGTCGAACGCTGGCATACCTGGCACTAATGGCTGTACAAGGGGCATAATCATGGTTCGAAAGGCTTCTTGCAATTGTGCCATCTCTTTTGGTCCCATCAAGGCCATGACATGACCATGATAACCTAATCTCGACATGACTAGTGACCGAAACAGCTTCAACTTACTTTGCAGCGAGACTTCATCTCGTTTCCATAAGGAGCGACACAGTGGTCCCCATGCTTTCCTTGCTGTGGCAATCCGGTGCTGAACCTCCCTCCTTGGGGCAACATCCGCCTGCAGATAGGACCCTAAATGCTTGTACGAATGCGTGATTCTCAATGATTGGCATCCTTTCTCATGCAGAATCTTAACTGTTCCTTGCTGCTGCACTAGCCATTTTTCTTTTGCCTTTCTGGACCCCGGACCTCGAAAGCAGACTAACAGCTCGGACTTGTCTTGCTGAAAGTTTACCGTAAGGCCTCTTCTGCGAGTCATTTCAACAAGAATGGCCATTACTTGTGCTGCACTGTTCACCACAGCATCCGCCCCATTTTGCATGACTCCTACTGCAACGTCGTCAAAAAAATGAGATTTCAAGAAACTGCGGTGCGGACTCGCTTGGACAGTACCCATCAGCAACAATATCTCGAAAGCCAACTCGACTTAGCTCGTCTCTCACATAACACAAAATCCTCTGCATGATGATATTGAATAGGATGTCTCCTATGGGGTCACCAGGACGCGTGCCCCTGGTGGTCTGTGCCACCTGGCTCAATCCTCGAATCCGAAAGTGAGTGGCTCTCATAGCATCTTTCACTCTATTCCTCAAACTACTGCTGCATGATTCAAGAACCGCATCTTCCTTAGCTTGTTCACAATAGCCCTTGCTACCGAAATAATAAAATTCAGGTGCTTGAGGCAATTTTCTCCATAAGAACCTATGAACTTTATCCAATTCGAGGTCTTGGTAACATACCCTGACTTCCAGGCTTCAGGGTTGGGCCTGAACTTTATTTAGGTGCCAAGGGGTGGCGTTCAGATAGTTGTTCATGAGGTTGGCCCCCTGGCCATTTAATTAAACTATACTACAGTAGTTTATTGTAGAGACAATTCAGAACATTAGTTGATATGTTTGCCTGAGACGAATCATGCCCACCATGAAAGAGAGAGAGAGAGAGTGCAGAGCTTGTTTTGCAGGTGGCTTGTCCATCAACGATATCATGCCATGCAAACGGTGGACCGTTCAATGATGTTCAATGGCTCAAGGGTGTATTCTGAGCGGTAGAATAGACCTGCAATGACAACTGCTTTGAAAGCAGGCGGGAAAGGCTTAGGCTTGTTCTCCTGCGAGCCATTGCAGCCGAAGACTTCAGTGCCAGTTACGCATTGGCACTTGATCAATCATGCATGCGACCCAAGCTGTGCATGGGAACCAGACGACCCCATGGCATGGCGCGAGAACATGAATGGCCAGGTGGAGGATTCAGGACCGCTTGGCAAAGTCATTTGCCAGCATACCAGTTGGAGATAGTTGGAGAGAAGCCAGGGGTGTAAGACTTGTTTGGTTAGAATCTTGTAGGGGCTGCCCAGTACCGAGATGATTATTTTTAAAAGCGTTTGAAGTGTTCATTGAGGTGGTGTCTCTTCGGAGAATAGAAGCTGGAGATGAAATCACTGTGGACTACAGAGTGCATCCGGCAAGTTTAATCGTGCTGCTTTGGCAATCAACATATATATGTATCTGTATATACGCCTAAAGATGTTTCAGGATAGTTTTACGAGCAGTCGGAGAAAACAGCTATCCTACAACCACATGCCATACAATTTGCAGATGCTTGCGGCAATAATGCGACTTGAAGCTTCCTACGCAGCATTTGGATCACTCACGGTACTCACACGCAAGTGCCATTTTGGATAGTTCGGGCACAGACAGAATGCCTGTGTCCTCTTGGAGCATTTGGGGCCTTGTTGTGGCGTCATGTTTCGCTCTGACCATTGCAATGCCCAACATGGCTCGGGGCGTGGACACGTTGAGCTCTGTGCCTGCCTCAACATTGAACCTATTGAAAAAAATGCTTCGGTAGTTGTTTGAAGTCTGAGGGTTTGCAGCGAGGCAGGTTGCACGGACATGTGCAGATGTATGTGTTCATACTTTTCCGGGCCCCCCGCCCAAAGAATGATGATAATGATGTGATTGATAAAATGCAGGTGCCAGTGGAACAGCGCTATGATGCCCGCAACGACTTGCCCTTTTGGTTGCACTTTGCTGGCAGGTTTTCAGGCGCAAACATGAACACTTTGAGATTTTTGAACAAGTTTGAAGAATATGTTCAGCATATTCTTCGTATTGTATAGCTGAAACTGGCATGCTGAAGACCCTTGTTTATCCTTGTTTGTGATGTTTGTGACCCTTGATTCTTTACCGTCTTTAATGCCTGATGATGTGGAGGGTGGTTGTTGGCCAGGCCCCGCGGACCTTCATTGCTTGGATGTGTTCTCGCGTTCTGGGAAAATCGCACAGGCGTTCACCAGGCGCGAATTTCGCAGTTCGCAATTTGACATCGCCACGAGCGTGGAGGAGGACATTACGACAGAGAAGGGCTTCGCTACACTGATCCTGAAGGGCCTCCGCCTCCTTCCCAACGGCTTTGTGATGCTGGCCCCGCCATGTAGTATGTTCACCTTTTTCTCAAGCTCCCAACATGGCCGTTCATGGTGGGGCGCTTGGGGAAACCCCATGGATCCTTCCACGAAACTGGCCAACTTGATCGCTGTCAACACTGCCCCTTGTTTATATATCCTTGTATTTTCCACGTTTTCGGATTTTCTGTCAACGGGCTGCTGACCTCAACAAATTTAAACCCAAACCTTGCGGGTCCCAGCTCACCCCAGCATACCCCAGCGCGTCCTTTCAATGTTTTCAGCGAGGTCATTTTCATGATGGTGATCAAGCGTGCCCGACGTGCGCAGATGCTCCTGGAGCAGCCGCGGGGGTCATGGCTTCTGAAGTTGCCGCCTGTTTTGGAGCTGATTGCCGAATTTCACCTCCAGAGGATCAGCGCTCATTTGATTTTCTGGGTGTTTTGGAAGCATTTCATCTTTGATTCTGTCATGGAGAGAAGGGAAAAGGTGGAAATAGTTAACAATGTTAACATGAAAATCATGAAATATCATATGCAATAAAGATAATAAAGTTGCGGGGGCCAACCTTCCTTAGCTGCTGCATCATTCTTCAGGGCAGACCCTTTGTTTTTTACACTCAATGCGTGGTGTTGGTCTTGTATGGTCTTGTTCTCCTGGGCCTTGGGGCCCCAAGTTAATTGAAATACAGTGAGGGGAATTGAGCGCAAACTGAGGCTTTTGATGTTCTGGTTTACCTTTTGGAAAGCTAAAATTTAGGTTGCCAACCCTTACAAGTAAGCCAACTCATGGACCTGGTTGGGCCCCCCCAACTTTATGGAAACCAGCCTTGGCTGTTTGTTATGTTTGTTTGGGGTGGGCTTCCAAGCCGCTTGCCCAGGGCCATGTCCTGGAGAAACCTACAACCTTGGTGGGTGATTTGGAAGGCATGGACCAGCTACAGCGAACCATGACGAAAGATGCCAGGCGCAAGTTCCAGAAGAGGCGCAAGAAGGTCCTCTGGCTTACCCCAGATCATCCAAATCACGCCAATGCACATCATGGAATGTATGTCAAGGATTCGAAGGGCAAGGTTCACGGAACCACTTTGCTGGCAAAGTCAGCAATATACCCGTACAGATTCTGCAACGATATTGCCCGTCTGTGGATGCAAAGCTGGAACCCACAGTAAAACATATGTGTATATTTCCTTCGGCGCGGCGCAACTGTCGCTAGACGTGAGCCACCGATCGAACACAGTCGGTCGCGTGGGCAGTGAGTGAGATAGGGTTTTGCAAGTGTTGGTCAATATGATCAATGTCAACATTTGCATTCTGAGTGTTCCGGTTGGCAATGGTTACTAGTGGGCGCTAACGGGAATGTGGCGAGCCACGGCAGAAAACATCGTTGATGCATCGTGCCTTTGAGACTCGAGAATAGAATCTGACAGATCTGACAGCCTCTGAGATCCAGCCTTCATGCCACAATTAGTCTTGGAAATTGGAAACATTGGATCATTTGGAAGATTTTGGAAGCTTAGCGTTTTTGTGCTATTGATGATTCTTCGACGTGACCTGCGATGATTCCGATAAGTGCAAGCGTGCCAGGCAGACCCATCTCTTTTCGGCCTATCTGGCACTGGCAACCTCGGCTTCCAGTGTTTGTGCGGCGCTCCTGGGTGCAAGCCTCTGCCGGGCGATTGCCCGCTTGTTGCGAAGTGTGTAGGGTCTATGCACAACGTCCGGTATTTCCACAAAGACGGCTGTTGGGTGGCAGACTGCGATGTGAACAAATTTCACAAGGAAGTCTTTTATTTTGGCTCCTGGCGTGGGAAGGGTTCCCACAACGGCGTCAAAAAAGGCAGGGTTTGTCAGTGTCTCTGGCAGATGCTGGCAGGGGAAGACATGGGACAGTGCCGTAACCCTTCTCTTTACCGGTTGTTGTTCATGACTTTTTTGGGGGACATGACTTTTTGCCTTTGTCCCTGGCAGACTTTGCAGAAAGAGAAGGATAGCATGGCTGAGCGAGCAAGGAATGGGGAAAGTGATTTGCGCACAAAGAGCACAAAGAACAAACCAGCAGAATTACTGGCAACTTTCTCAGTGTTCTATTTCTTTTGAATCTTATGCATCGTATGTGTCTAGTATGTTTGGGCCAGATAAGAGATGTATGTGGCTCACAATGCTCACAGCTCCTGCCCAGGTGGGAGACGACAAAGCCCAGGCCAAAGATTAACTGTTAGTTGCTGAGCGCACTTTGAGATCTTTGAGATGATTGAATATCGTGTATATAATTGATTAGTATCATTAGTGTGGCCTTGACCTTGGGCCACTTGCTAGGTGGCCGGTGGCGGAAAACACCATGCGACGGATGGCGCCGCTGGCCTCAGCGCTTAATGATCTTAACGCGTTTTTTTGCGGTCTAGGATGTCTAGGATTGTCTAGGCTATTTGGGCGAGGCTTTGAGATGACGCAGCTCAAGGGGTCTCACGGGCTCCAACTCCAACGGTTTTGAATTTTCTGACAGATCTTGACAGAAACGCCGCAGCCAGATATTGGTTGTCGGCCCAGGTGGCTGGTGGAGAACAAGTTGAGAAAGATGGGACAGGTGAGTGCGCTGACTGTCCAGAGGCCAGCGCAGCTACAAGAGCTACTGTACAGAACTCAAAGCAATTGACCTTTCAGGTTGGTCAAGCTGATGGACAACACCGTGGGGAAGATGGTGCTGCTGGCCCGACAGAGGCCAGTGCGTTTTACAAGTCTTCCGGTCTTGGGCAATCGCAATTCTTTACGAGCCTGACTGTCTTTAGATCTGGCTTGAAGCAACTCACAGTGTCAAAGGCAGCAATGGTTAGAATGGTCAAAAACTTTGACAATTCGGGCAACCTAGATTCCCTTTGGCATCTTTGGCTCAGGATGCCCAGGCAGCGCACCATGGGAAAGAGGAGGGCGCTGAGGCGCTGATGGCAGTGGAGCTGGACAAGGGACAAAGCACTGTACGCTGTAGAAATTTACTGTGCACGGTAGTCATTGCATACATTTGGTATACCAATATTGTCAGATTGGTGACGATGCTGGCCAATGCCATGAGAAAGATCGTGGCCCGACCATGGATACCAAGGCCAGCGCCCTTTCGTCATTGTTTCATAGTGTGCATAACTCTGGTGACCTGACAGAAGGGCTTCCTAACCTTGGCAATTTTCCACTTTGGGTTCACTTTTAACAAGTGTCCTGGGGGCCCGTTTTTTAGATCAAAAAAACGGGTCCCCAGGTCACTTGTCAATACTAAGAAATTCACCCAGCTCCAAAGCCGAAACCAAGCGGAAAATTGCCACCTAACCTTGGCTTGGCGTCAGAAGGGGCTTTAGATCTGTCCGTCTGTCCTGTGGCTTGAATGCTTGGAATTTTTATTGGGCCAGGTTGCCGGTGGAGAAGATGATGAACATGATGAACATGGTGAAGCTGCTGATGAGGCCCGTCAATATGGAACTTCATACCCGTCCGGTAATCCATACTGAAATCGAGTAGCTCAGCCACACTGACTGATGTCAAACACACGTCTCCCTTCAGGTAGAGCTTCTACCTAGCTACTGGATCGCACAGCTAGGCAAAAGCTCCCCTGGTGCATTCCGGTGTTTCGACAATAGAGGGTTCACTTCCGCTTGCTGGGCTAGGTGCGTGCTGGAGAAGGCCATGGGAAAGAAGAAGGTGCTGAGTGTGACCAGGCCTGTGAGCCCGTTCATGTGGTCTTTGTGATCTTTGTATTCTTTGTTGTCTTTGTTCATCTTTGTTTGGCTGTAAGTAAGATCTGTAAGGGGCAAGACAATGCATTTTAGGCTTTCTGCAAGGCTCTACGTGCAAGGGGGGGATGGCCAGATTAATTCACTTTTTCTCGTTGGTGATGTTGGTGCAGGTGCCCACTGGTGAAGATTCCCGGAAAGACAGATCTGCTGAGCGTGGCGAGGCTGGTTTGTAGCTCTTGACATCGGAATCAGTCTTTCAAATCTTTAAATCTGAGAATTCTGAGGGGTGCAATCTTTTGAGAACCTTTTGAAAGCTTTCCGCCCGCCTTGGATTGCTTGGGTTGGCGTGGGTTTTCAGTTTTCGATGGCGTCAATTATGTCAATTATCTTCGATTGGGTCCGCTGGACCAGGTGGCTGCTGGACAAGGTGGACACGGCGAGGGGAAGGAAAAAGGTTCTGAGCAGGCCTGTCCGTCACTGCTTATTTTCTTTCGTCCTAGTAGTTGCCAGCGTTTTGGGCCCGGTAGATTGGGACCCTGTCGCTTGATTTCTTTTTCTTTGAACGCTTTAGATTTGAGATGGTTTGAGTTTTGAGCAGTTCTGCCCAGACAGGCAGTGGAAAGACCACTTTAATTTGCCCACTGGCCCAGGCACTCGGAGGAGAAGAAGAGGGGAAAGGCAAAGATGGCAAAGGTGCTGGGAATGCTCAAGGTGGAGTTCCAGGAAAGTGTCCCCAGTCAGGGTTTAGTGGAAGAGAAGCTAGACATGGCCAAAATGTTTCAATATGTTTCGGTGAGACATAGATGTGGGACTTCACTAACCTTTGTGGAGTTCCGGCAGCTGCAGCGAGCCTTGCGAATTTGAGACTCAAGGTTCCTGTCAAAGAGATCTCTGGGGTTTTGCTTGACAATGTCATTGCAACTGTTGAGTCTTTTGCAACTAATTTCAATATTCGCTTTTGGCGTCCTCTTGTCCATTCCCAAGCCATCTTTTGAAGAGGTGGCCTGGAGAAGGTGTTTTTGACACCAAAAAAGCTATTTCAGGCCACCTCTTATAAGGATAGTTTGAGAGGGTCCTGGAAACCTTTCCTTTTGCCCCCGCCCCCTGAACTCTTTGGCTGGGCTCTGTGCTCTGTGTCCAGGCCTTGTCCTCCTCTTGTCCTCTTCTTGTCGTTGTCTTGGCCGCGCCCCTGAACTCTGTGGCTGGGCTCTGTGGCCCGGCTCTGCGTCCGCACCGTTCCAAGAAGGACAACAATCAAAGAGGGTCATTCAAAAAGTTTCGTATTTTCTGAGCTTAGTTTGCTATACCTCCATCCACCTCCCATATATATCAATAATGAGCAGCTCTCCGCCATTTTGATCCTCGCTTAGTTTTCTATATCTTCTTCCACCTCCCATATTTATGAATAGTAGCTGCTCCTCCAAAAATGTTTCAGTGTTAAATTCAGGTGGGCAGCAGAAACCCAGCACAAGAAGCTTCAACAAACACAGCCCACCAACCCTCACCACAACCTAAAGTCACCAGGGACCCAACCTCACCAACAGCAAATACACCATCAAACCAGGCCTTCTTAGTGTTTATTAGGGTTTAGTGGCTTTGGTCTGGCAATCTGGAAACCTGCTGCGAAGGTCAAATACTACAGGCTGGGGCCCACCTGAGACTGAGGGTTTGTGTTGCTTGGGAAAGCCAGGGTG